TGTCAGGGGCGGGATGGTTGCTGACCTCCCTGAAGGCCTGATAATCCCTCGGGATGCCGGCCCCAGTGCCATGTTTCCTGGAGCTCAGTGGCTGCCACTTCCTTCTCTGCAGCCTTCCTTTTCAGCTCCAGAGAGGTGCCCCAAGACATGGACCTCAAAGCCCCAAGGGAATGCCCCTGCCCAAGGCACCTCCAGGCTGAATGCACAGTGACTCTGGGAATGCAGATGCCACACTCACCGCTCACCTGCTTGGCTGCAGGAGGTAGTTGTTGAGCCCGGGTACCTCTGAGAGTGGAATTCTCCCCCAGGATTTTCAAGTTCAGAGCCGTCTTGGGCTGCTTCCCATATGAAGGAAGAAAGCTGGGTGGGGGTAGGGGGGGGAGCATGCCCTGCCTGCTTAGCCAAGACTGTGCCTCTGAAACCACCCTTCAGTGTGCTCAGAAGTTCAAGAGCTCAGGGATCCCTCTCAGCCCCCATCTGGCATCTGTTCCAAGGTGGGAGCACCTAGAACCTGCTTAGAAAGCGCTTCTTGGAGCATGTAAGAGCTGCAAGGCTCTGAACTAAAGAAGGAGCCAAAATTCATAACAATGGTGTCAAAGAGCCAGTAGCAGAGGGGCTGGCCTTGGAGCAGCCACTTACAGGACTGAGAAGGGGAGAGCTGAGAAGGGAAGGGGCTCTGGAGGCAAAGGAAAAGCAGGCAGTGCAAGAAAACTCAAAAAGGATCACGGGGTAAGGGTAGGGGGCCAAAGACAAACATCCCCCAGCCCTACCCTCCAGCCCCATCTGAAGTCTAGCTGCCATGCCCACGGAGCTCAGGAGGACCCAAGGTCTCTCTGCACAGCCGCAGCCCCCAGCAACCCCAGACACCTGGTCAAGGCCTCTGGCTTTTCTCTACACTCCCGTGTCCCTGCAATACTTCCTCATCTGAGATGAGAAGAACAATCGGAGTGGAGGTGAAAAGGTGGAAGCCCAGTGGGAATCCCCCATTAGATCTCCATCTGGGCATGGCCTTCTGAACCCTATGGCACTGGGCTAGTGCCTGGGTGGGAGGTACCATCAAAGGTGCAGCTCCTTCCCTGAGATGGCCCAGGTAGGCACCTTCTTGCCTCATGCAGCCTGAACAAAATCCTGTTGGTCCTGTCATCTGCCCCACTCTCCAGAGGAGAAGTGTGCTGTTTCAGAAGCCACCCTCCGGTCAGCGGATAGGAATACTTTTGATACCCAGAAAGCTGTATACAAGAACATGATGTACTTCTCCAGGCCATGAGCATGTGCTGAGCTTCCACTGCAAACTAGGCTCTGCGCTGGCCCCAGGGTTCAGGGATAGCTAGCAGGGGGAATTTTCTCTGGCACATCCTCTATTCCCTTCCCATCCGTGCCCACGCTGGCTCTGTGCCTTCTGCAATTCATTTCAAAATTGGAGCTTCCCATTGCTCCTCCATGGTGAACAAGACCCAGGGCACAAGCAAAGCCCTGAGAGACGACAGGATAATTCACCAAACTAAATGGAAAGCCAAATCCTGACACTGAAACTACTCCCCCATATGGACAGTGTGCTGGCATCTCCCCTGATCATTAGGCAGCCCCTCTGGGTAATGTTGGTGGTATCAGAGTGCTATGGACTGAACTGTATCCCCTCCAAATTCATACGCTGAAGCCCTAACCCCCAAACCTAACAGTGTGGTGCCATTTGGAGATGGGGTTTTGGGGATGTAATTAACATTAGATGAGGTAATGAGAGTGGGACCACCTTGATGGAATTAATGCCTTAATGAAGAGATACCAGAAGAATCATTCCCTCTCTGCCATATGGGCACACAGCAAGAAGGTGGTTGTCTGCAAACCAGGAAGAGAGCCTCATCAGAGCCAACCATGCTGCTCCCTGATCTCAGACTTCCAGCCTCCAGAACTGCAAGAAAATAAATTCCTGTTGTCTAAGCCCCCAAGACTATGGTATTGTGTTCCTAAGTGTGCTTTTTAGAGCTGATTAACAGGCATGGAATAAGGTTTGCTTTACAGGTCACAAATAACTCTCTAGAAACAAAACATGGAAACAAGAGTTTCCTCTGCCCCAGATGCCAGGATGGCAGCCATCTGGATGCTATCTGAATTACACATTTTCCCTGCCACCCTCCTGTGTGTCCACAGCTGGCTTTGCTGTGATCTACCAGGACCAGCAGCTACCAGCCAGTGCGCTGGGTGCACAACCCGAGATGCGTGTCCTTGGTCTGCCATGTGGGGCTTTCCAGCTCTGAGCTGTGTGAGTGGGATGAAGAACCAACAGAGGAAGTTTGAGCTACACTCTCCCATGTCCCAAGTACACACTCCACCTGGGCAGCTCCTGGAATTTCCACCAACTCTGTATGTTGGTTGAGGGAACACCACAATTGCTGCCATTATAAACAGTCTGGGTGCAGGAGTGGGCTGGGAGACACATACCTGATAGTTTTTACACATACCTGGGGTTTTAGTCCAGCTGGCCCTCAAATTAAAATCCTACCTTACAGCTTCATTATGTTGGTCACACCCCTAGCTATGTAACTAATGCTGTGCTTTATTGAGAACTTGCTACAGAACAAGCATTTCATTAAATATTCACATACAGTATTTCATTTATTTATTCTGT